GGGGGGGGAAGCCGCAGCCCACCGACTCCCGCCGTCGGTGCCCATCCCCGGTGCCCACCCACCCACCTGCAGCGCGTCCCGCGGGGAGCCTGGCCCGAGTGGCGGCGCGGCGGCGCTGGGAGGGGAAGGGAGACCGCCCCTCCGCCTTCCCCTTTGGGGCCGGGCGGCGGCGGGAGGGGCGGCACCGGCCCAGTGGCAGAAGGAGACCCTCCTTCCCCGCACGGCATGGGGGAAAGGGGGGGGAAGCCGCAGCCCACCGACTCCCGCCGTCGGTGCCCATCCCCGGTGCCCACCCACCCACCTGCAGCGCGTCCCGCGGGGAGCCTGGCCCGAGTGGCGGCGCGGCGGCGCTGGGAGGGGAAGGGAGACCGCCCCTCCGCCTTCCCCTTTGGGGCCGGGCGGCGGCGGGAGGGGCGGCACCGGCCCACGGACCGCCCCCGAGATCGGAGGGTCGGGACGCGACGGGACGGGGGCACGGGGAGCCCCCCCCGCCGCTCCGGTAGCCCCAAAAGGCGGGAGGGGGGGAGCCCGGCTCCCGCTTGTGTCTCCCACCGCGCCAGAGCACAGAATCAATCACAGAATCATTGAATCATCTGTGTCCTTGAAGGGAACTTCAAGGTCATCTAGTCCGACCCCCCCGCCGTCAGCAGGGACACCCCCAACTAGACCAGGTTGCCCAGGGCCTCGGGGGCCTCAACCACCTCCCTGGGCAACCTGTTCCAGTGCTCCACCACCCTCACAGTGAAGAACTTGTTCCTAATGTCTCATTTAAATCTGCTTTTCTCCAGTTTAAAGCCATTGCCCCTCATCTGTCACTGCAGGCCTTTGTAAACAGATTCTCCCCAGCCTTCTTGTAGCCCCCTCGGGTACTGGAAGGGGCTCTAAGGTCTCCCCGGAGCCTCCTCTTCTCCAGGCTGAACAACCCCAGCTCCCTCAGCCAGATGCTCCAACCCCCCAATCATCTTGTGGCCCTCCTCCAGACCCACTCCATCAGGTCCATGTCCTTCTTATACTGAGGGCTCCAGACCTGCACACAATACTCCAGGTGAGGTCTCACCAGAGCAAAGTGGCAGAATCACCTCTCTGGACCTGCTGGCAACATTTCTAGTGCTCCAACCCCTTGATCATCTTTGTGGCCCTCCTCTGGACCCACTCCATCAGGTTCATGTCCTTCTTATATTGAGGGCTCCAGACCTGCACACAATACTCCAGGTGAGGTCTCACCAGAGCAAAGTGGCAGAATCCCCTCTCTGGACCTGCTGGCAACACTTCTATTGATGCAGCCCAGGATGGGATTGGCTTTCTGGGTTGCAAGTGCACACTGCCTGCTCTCATGTCCAGCTTCTCGTCTACCAGCACCCCCAAGTCCCCTTCCTCAGGGCTGCTTTCTAATATCTCATCCCCCAGTCTGTATTGATGAGGAGGATTATTCCAGCCCAGGTGCAGAACCCTGCACTTGCTCGTGTTGAACCTCATGAGGTTCACCTGAGCCCCAGTTCCAGCATTAACTACAGCTGGAATTGCACAGGGAAACCAGGCTCCAGGAGGCTTTTCCCCTTACGGAGATGTAGGTTAAGATGTAGGAAAGCTCATGGAGGGAGCAGTGTTTCCCCCCCAAAACATGAAGCAGACAGAAGAGCACGCAGCTTTTGAGTCCCCACAAAGCGTTTTCCTCCCCCAGCACTGGTCACACTTGCTCAGTCAGGTTGGGCATCTCCAGGGAGACTAATGACACTCTGTGCCTCTGCTGCTGAAACTTCAGAGAGGGCTACACCTTCTCCTACAACATCACAGAAGGCTGTGGCAGAGTGTTTATTATGGAGCCCACGGATAGCCCAATCCACCTGGTGACTGTCCAGCCTTTCCATAGAGAAGTACCATGAGGGGTAAAAACAAGCATTACAGCACATGAGCTATTAGTACAAGCTCCTTTTCCCTGTGCACAGGAAGAGGTCACAGGGATGTAGCAGCTTTTGAGTCCCCACAAAGCGTTTTCCTCCCCCAGCACTGGTCACACTTGCTCAGTCAGGTTGGGCATCTCCAGGGAGACTAATGACACTCTGTGCCTCTGCTGCTGAAACTTCAGAGAGGGCTACACCTTCTCCTACAACATCACAGAAGGCTGTGGCAGAGTGTTTATTATGGAGCCCACGGATAGCCCAATCCACCTGGTGACTGTCCAGCCTTTCCAAAGAGAAGTACCATGAGGGGTAAAAATAAGCATTACAGCACACAAGAGCTATTAGTACAAGCTCCTTTTCCCTGTGCACAGGAAGAGGTCACAGGGATGTAGAAATTACTTCCTTTTAACCAAGCATACACAGAATTTTTCAGTTACACCTATTGTTTCTTATTCCATAGGCTGGTGCTATTTCACTTATATTGCTCATGTGGTGGCCATACTGGAGAAGACCTCACAAGATATTCTGGCATGAAGGGACTCAAGGAGCCTGTTTGGATGGGTGTACGTAAATATTCTTTCACTTGTTTTCTCCAAATTTCCTGCAGTCACTCAACAGCCAGCAGCACCTTTGAGTCCTGAAGGTGCTACCTGCACATAACTAAGGAGACAAAAATTGGTTGTAGACGGATCTAGCCAGATTTATCACTTGAGATGGTGCTTTGTTACCCCCAGCACTGACACCTGCTTTTCCACACCTTTAACTATCGGATCCACTCAGACTACAAAGGCAGCAATCTTTATTTCCCGAGACACATGTATGCTCACACTTAAAATAAACTTTATAAAAACTTTTGTTTTGGGGGTAAGAGTTACAAATGTTAAGTTCCTGATTAACAGAAAAAAAAAACAACCAAAAAAAACAAGGAAAAAGAGGGCAAGTTACAAGTCACAAGCAAGATGATGTTCAAATCCCCAAGCAGAAAACACTCTCTTCCTACCATCCTTTGGCCTCTAACCTTTAACACCTTGTAATAACCGTGGTCTCCTGGGCCTCTGAACACCGCAGCTGGGAATCCAGGCACCAGCCTGATTGTGCAAGCCAGAGGGGGAACTCCTGAAAAATGCTCCCTGGAACAAGGTGCAGCTCACACACACGGGGGTGGCTCATCCAGTCTCATCCAACCCTCAATTAGGCGACACTGCTTTGCACACTAATGTAGCCTCCTCATAACAACAGGGCTCTTCTCGTTGTCACCCTTCGGGTGGGAGGGAATGGAAACATGGCAATCAGGCCCTGGGTAACCTCTCTGGGTGTCCAGCAGTTTCATGGGACCGGGGTGGGGGGAGCAGTTCCCACAGCCCCGTTTCCCAAACACACACTGCTCCACAAACTAAAATTAATTTAACCCACCTAACGGGGGAAAATTGTGCGGGAACCATTTTACACCAGATGCAAATTACACCAGGAACGAGGCAGCCATTGAGGGAAATGTGGGAATTCAGTGTGGAAAAATCAAACCCTCCTCTCAACAGCAGTAAGCCATTATATTACCTCAGCTGCTCATGAAATTCCAGTTTAGGCCACAAGTTACTGAACTTGTTTGAGGCTCCCCATATCGACCACGTTCTTGCAGGGAACACTTCAAACCTTCCAGCACGGGGCTTGCCTTGCCTTGGTGCTATGGGGAAAGCAGCATTTTACTTCTTGAGAGGGATTTAACAGGTGGAAAACAGCTTAGAGAGCAAGTGATCCAACCCAAAAAAGAAATTTAAGGCATCAATGATACATTCATCTCCACTCCTACCAAGCCACACGGCACATTGCTGGGAGCAAGCAGAAGCTGGCAAGTTTTACATTCTGGGAGAACAAGGAGAAATGCCACACCGCAGGCAGAGCCTCTGAAACAAAACCACAGCAAAAAGCAGAGCTGGGTGGCAAAGAGGGCTTTATCTCCTCTGCCTCCTTACCCATTCCCTCTGAGCCATCAACCACAACCTCCATGCAGTTCCTGCACACCTCCACTCCCCAGCTATGTTCCCAGCAAAATCAGTATCAGGAGAGCCACAGTAGCGCTACAGACCTTGGTCTTTTGGGCAACAGCCCCCAACTTGCAACTGCAAACAATGCAGTTACTCAACTACTAAGGTGTATTTAGACTCTGCTTCTCTAAGTCCTCTGGTTGTTGGCCTCAACAGGAGTGGAAGGAAGAGGAAGGTGGGAATTTATTGCAAGGTGAAACTATAAAAGAAGGAAAACAGAAAAGAGGAAGCCTGTCACACTGAGACTGTGAACTTGAAATGTCAGGTGGGGGCGGGGATTACAGCCAGAGGGTTCAAATCAGTTGTTGCTCTTACAGTAGGTAGCCAGAGGCAAGTTACAATACTTGCCAATTCACAGGTATCCGAGTTAAACTGACTGAAAAATAAGTAGGAGGTTAAGATACAGGTATGAGAATGATTTCTTTTTCTTCTACTACTTTCTGGGCAGGAAATCAAAATGAAAAAGTACTGCCAGCCTTTTAAAATAAGACTGTAGAAAATTTAAGCCTTGGAGGTCACCCTAGCTGGTGCCTAGTGGTACCAGCTCAAGGACGGTTTCGAAGTAGGGGCCTAAAAACCAGAATTAGAAATAAAAGAGGGAAACATTTAACCATTTTCCCACATCCTGACACTGGAGCTGCCTGCCCCGCAAATGGTCTAGGGGAAGCAGCATTCCAGGCAGGCTTCACATCCATAATGTCCACATGCCTATCCCAAGCCACTCCGGTGAGCAGATGGTTTATGAATTCCCAAGGAAACATTCTCAGTCACTTTCAAACTTGACGGAATTGACTTGGGTGGATATAGTGCCCCCACGGTAGCTGCCTCGTTTTTTCTTGGTCTTTTCATGACGGAAAGATTTGCCTTTAGTGAATTTCAGGATATTGTTAGCCTTCTCACCCCAGTCACCAGCTGCTCCTTTCTGCAAGGGATGAAGGGGGAGAGGAAAAAGAAATTCAGGTCAGTACCCAAGAGAGTAAGGGCAATGCTTCATACTTCATCCTACCCAGCAAACACCAGCACATTAACACTGGGGCTGATACCACTCTCCCACACACTTCCTAACAGCACCTCCTGGTGGAAAAAGGTCCCACCAAAAAGACTGCCCAGAAGCAGACCAAGGCTGCTGTGCTGAGTTTTATTTGCAGAGGTCAAGCGTTACCACTCTGGGCACTACCAAGTCCTACCTTTGCCTCAAATGAGTTATCAGCGACACGGGCATCCACCTCAATCTCTTCTTCTCTTACGCGGCGGAACGGAGAGGCTGGCTGTTAATGAAAACAAGATATAGTAAGTGCATACATGAGCGTGATATACCCTTAGTGACAATTGCCTTCCCTCCTTGCCCTGCAAACACGGAGCCCTACTTCATGTCACCTCAATCTTTAAGTGTTTCTCAGACTCATAATTCCTTCCCTTTTTCACATCAGGCAGCTCAAGGATGCTCCTGGGCAAACACACTCAATCAACCTTTGTCAGAATAATTTTATGCACATACGTGCACTCCCGAGGGTTCTCCAGCCAAGGTTCAAGTGCTTGAAGAGGGAGCAAAAATACGAATAATCCTGTGGGCCCAACCTCCCCCAAAACCCCAAACCAAGCCCACCACTTGTTCAGGAGGCAGAGATGCCTCTCCCACTAGTCACCACAGTCTACCCTCACTCACCCGTTTCACCTTGGGAACTGTGTGTGGTGTTTTAGCTTTAATCTTTGCTTTTTTACTCTGTGGTGTCTCTGGCTCCTGAACATCTTCCCTCTTCTGTTTCTTCCCGATTGTGCCTGTTAGATGTACAGCAGTACAACTTCAAAAGGAGTAACTGCAGTGTCGGGAAAGGCAATGACATCTCTCCCCCAGAACGCAAACCCCGTGTTGACACAGGTGTGAGAATCAGTCCCTGCATCACCTCACCCAGAAAACAGACACTAATAGCCATTCTGGGTCAGCAAGGATTTTGCCATCCTATCCTAATGGATAATTTTCTGGAATAGGGTACCTCTTTGTTAATAATTTAGTGCATTTGAGAAAGTTCTGTTGGTTAAAATTTGACAGCCTTTGGAGTCACACAGTACATTCAAAGTAATTTTCCTCCTGGAGGGATAAACACTGAGATTGTGCACTGGGGTATCATCTACTGTGTCCCCCTCAACACAGACAAGGTCCTCCAACAGTCTGCCTTCCTGCCACTACCAACCTTGTGCATGCACAGATGGCAACTGGCAACAACTGTACAGAAACGTACTTCATGTTGCCACACATTCCATTGCTGGCAAATATGAAATACAGACAAAAAGGATCATGCTAAATTAAAAACTAGCCCTTTCCTCTCAGTACTGAACCAGATGGCATAATCTAATAGCATATTAGACTGAATATTGTTTAGGAAAGGCTCCCATTCCTGCTTAGCTCAGTGCCTGCCTGACAGACCCACTTCCCAGACTGCAGGTAATACCTCCATTGACTTTTCCAGTCTCCTCTTCAGAGCTGCTCTCGCTACCCTTAGTGACAATTGCCTTCCCTCCTTGCCCTGCAAACACGGAGCCCTACTTCATGTCACCTCAATCTTTAAGTGTTTCTCAGACTCATAATTCCTTCCCTTTTTCACATCAGGCAGCTCAAGGATGCTCCTGGGCAAACACACTCAATCAACCTTTGTCAGAATAATTTTATGCACATACGTGCACTCCCGAGGGTTCTCCAGCCAAGGTTCAAGTGCTTGAAGAGGGAGCAAAAATACGAATAATCCTGTGGGCCCAACCTCCCCCAAAACGCCAAACCAAGCCCACCACTTGTTCAGGGGGCAGAGATGCCTCTCCCACTAGTCACCACAGTCTACCCTCACTCACCCGTTTCACCTTGGGAACTGTGTGTGGTGTTTTAGCTTTAATCTTTGCTTTTTTACTCTGTGGTGTCTCTGGCTCCTGAACATCTTCCCTCTTCTGTTTCTTCCCGATCGTGCCTGTTAGATGTACAGCAGTACAACTTCAAAAGGAGTAACTGCAGTGTCGGGAAAGGCAATGACATCTCTCCCCCAGAACGCAAACCCCGTGTTGACACAGGTGTGAGAATCAGTCCCTGCATCACCTCACCCAGAAAACAGACACTAATAGCCATTCTGGGTCAGCAAGGATTTTGCCATCCTATCCTAATGGATAATTTTCTGGAATAGGGTACCTCTTTGTTAATAATTTAGTGCATTTGAGAAAGTTCTGTTGGTTAAAATTTGACAGCCTTTGGAGTCACACAGTACATTCAAAGTAATTTTCCTCCTGGAGGGATAAACACTGAGATTGTGCACTGGGGTATCATCTACTGTGTCCCCCTCAACACAGACAAGGTCCTCCAACAGTCTGCCTTCCTGCCACTACCAACCTTGTGCATGCACAGATGGCAACTGGCAACAACTGTACAGAAACACACTTCATGTTGCCACACATTCCATTGCTGGCAAATATGAAATACAGACAAAAAGGATCATGCTAAATTAAAAACTAGCCCTTTCCTCTCAGTACTGAACCAGATGGCATAATCTAATAGCATATCAGACTGAATATTGTTTAGGAAAGGCTCCCATTCCTGCTTAGCTCAGTGCCTGCCTGACAGACCCACTGCCCAGACTGCAGGTAATACCTCCATTGACTTTTCCAGTCTCCTCTTCAGAGCTGCTCTCGCTGCTGGTACTGCTGCCACCAGCTGGCTTCGACTTCACGTTGTTTGCTGCTGGAGTGGACGCTGCTGGTACTGCTGCCACCAGCTGGCTTCAACTTGTTGTTTGTTGCTGGAGTGGATGTTTTTGGTTTCTCTTTGGAGGCAGTCTTAGAACTGTTCTGTGCCCCTTTCCCTGCCTTTTTGGGCTTTTCATCCTCTTCACTGGAACTATCCGATGAGCTGCTGCTACTACTACCAGCAGCAGCTGCCTTCTTCCCCACAGCTGCTTTCGCTGTCCCTGTAGATTTGGTGGCTGGTTTTGCTGCTGGCTTCTTTTCTTCTTCACTGCTTGAGCTATCAGAGTCAGAAGACTCTGCTTTGGGAGCCGGGGTAGAAGGTTTGGACACTGGCTTACCCACTTTGCCAGCTAATTTAGCTGGAGTGCCTTTCTTCTTCTTCTTCTCATCCTCAGAGCTGCTGGAGCTGCTATCTGAATCAGAGCTGCTTTGTGCTTTCTTTGGGACAGCTTGTGACTTCTTTGTTGCAGGGGTTGCTGCTTTAGTTGTGGGCTTCACAGGGGCCTTCTTGTCAGAGCTATCAGAATCTAGAATGGAAAGGCAAAGAATCACCAAGGCTAAGCCCCATTCTTTCAACATGAAGATAACATACAGATTCAATGTTGATACACAACATCAGCTGCTTGAAACACCACTGCACTGAGTATCCCTGTCCAGCTGCAACCTCAGACCCTGCCTAGAAACAGAGGTCTGAGCAAGCACAACGTGCAGGTGGAAATTCTCTTCTCCCACCCCAATACCTGAGCTGTCTGAGGAGGAACTGGAGTCTTTCTTTGCTTGTCCAGGCTTGACAGCTACTTTTGCCGGTTTGGGAGTATTCTTTATCACAGGTTGTTTAGCTGGGACTTTACTCCCTACCTTCTTCTTGTCATCTTCAGAGCTGGAATCTAAACCAAAAAAAAAAAAGTTAATAAGCTTCTGGTGCAAATTACTTTAGTAATAACATGTACATCACTCATGGGGAAGTAAAAACCAAAATGGATTGTGGCCCAAGGCTGAGCCACCAGATAACTGTCACTAAGCAGCATCTGATGAACATAAGCATTCATCTTTCCACCTATCTTCTCTATTGGGAGGAACTGGAACAAGCAGTTTAAGTTCTTCACTAAGGCATGTACAAGGAAGCAGATATTTGGAAAATAATGTAGAAGAGGTATGGAATAAGGGACTGGAGAAAGTACAGGTATTGCCAAAAACGAACTCAGGGAGAAGAAACATGGAGAAAAGAAGCTAAGCAGTAAAAGACAAAGAACAGGCAAGAAATGAGGCAATAAAACTGACAAAGCAGGCAGAGTGAGGCAGCAACAGCACAGTATCTCATTTTAGTTTTCCATTTCTTGTATCAGATGTGTTTAGCAGCAGCCTGAGGATGGACTGGAGACTCCCATGTACAAATATGCCTTCATATTGTGTCACAGCAATACGGAATGCTAAGTCTGATCTATTCCACCATTTCTGAACACTTTAATAACAGTCTTCAAAGCAGAACTCCTGCCACCTGTTGGAAGGGTGACACAGTCCAGTGCTGGCTGTCTGCAGACATGTACAAATATGCCATCATATTGTGTGTCACAGCAATACGGAATGCTAAGTCTGATCTATTCCACCATTTCTGAACACTTTAATAACAGTCATCAAAGCACAACTCCTGCCACCTCTTGAAGGGTGACAGAGTCCAGTGCTGGCTGTCTGCAGACAGACAGGCAATTGCCACCCAGGGTCCTGGCCACGACACCAGAGCTGTTGAGATATACAATGGGAGGACCTTTAACTTGGAGGGGAAATGTAGCACATCAGGAACTTACACAGGAAATACTGCATTGCAAACCTTAAAACTCATCAACAGAAGATAGAAAGCACGCTGCCCCCATTTCTAGGGTCACATTAGAAGGCATCTTTTGAGTCTATTTCAAACTTGGTACAGAGATAACATTTTTTATTTTGGAAACTTCTCCCCAAACACAACGGAATAACAGAAACCAAAAATCTGAAGACACAGATGCTCAAAAAGTGTAACCATTAACCTTCCTGGAGAAACCTGACAGACAACGCCCTACCCTTTCCACCCAGGAACATGCAGACCTTTCTGCACTTGCCAGTGGTCTCAGTGGTGTTTCATGGTCAGACTCCACTCTGCATAGTGGGCTGCTGGTTTTCAATGTCACATCTTGTTGCTATGGGAAGCTTTCAAGCTCATACACTACGGATCTTAACAGATACACCACTATAGAGCAACCTGGCCAGTAAAAACATTAACATAAAAAAAAAACCAAACCCAAAACTTTCTTTCTTTAATTACCTGAGTCACTGTCAGAACTGGATTCAGCCTTCTTGGTCACTGCAGCTTTGTTTTGGGGGGCAGAGACTGTTTTAGCTACTGCTGCTTTGCCTGCAAAAGCAAGTTTAAAATTAACTGGCCATATCCACAGTAAACCTTTGTCCCAAGATCCAACCCCTTCCAGATGTGTGTTGTGGTTTCAGCTGGGATAGAGCTGACTTTCCTACTAGCAGCTGGTATAGTGTTGTTTTGGGTTTGGGATAGGAACACTATTGACAGCACAAACCTTTGTCCCAAGATCCAAACCCTTCCAGATGTGTGTTGTGGTTTCAGCTGGGATAGAGCTGACTTTCTTACTAGCAGCGGGTATAGCTTGTTTTGGGTTTGGGATAGGAATACTATTGACAGCACCCTAAGTTTTTGGTTGTTGCTAAGCAGCCCAAGGCGTCTCGGAGTGCTCAAAACATTGGGAGGAGACACAGTTGGGACCCCAACTGACCAAAGGGATATTCCATGCCATGTGATGGCATGCTCAGTATATAAAGCTGAGGAAGAAGAAAGAAAGGGGGGACATTTGGAGGTAGGGTGTTTGTCTTCCCAAATAACCTGCTTTCCTGGAGATGGCTGAACACCTGCCAGCCTATGGAAAGTAATGAATGAATTCTTTCTTTTACTTTGCTTGTGTGTGGCTTTTGCTTTACTTATTAAAACTGTCTTTATGTCAACCCACAAGTTTTCTCACTCTTCTGATTCTCTTCCCCATCCCACCATAGGGAGAGTGAATGAGTGGCTGTGTGGTCCTAGCTGCTGGCTGGGGTTAAACCACAGTAATGTGAAAAAGCTCCCTTCTCAGTGCCACCTGCCATTCAACCAGCATATCACAAGCCAACCATATCACATGGCCAGCTGCAGTAACGGGCCTGGCTCATTGCCCGTTAAACTGGATGCTGATGACTTTTCAAACCAACACATGCCAAATAATCCAATCTGCACACAGTTTGAATCCACAGTTTGTACACAGTATTGTTTGGGATACCGTCAAATGACTCAGAAGCTCCAGAGAAGCAAAAAGCAACACAGACCAAAGTCAAACGGCTTTTTCAAGGAAACCAAGACATTGGCACAAACATTTTCTGCACCATGTAGATCTTCCTCTGCAGCCTCCTCTCCTCACAACATACCTGCTCCTCCCTTTGGGGGTGCCTGCTCTGCCTCATCACTGCTGTCTGAAGAGTCACTGCTCTCAGCCTTCTTTGCAGGAGCCTTGGCAATGCCTTTCTTCGCCTGCGCAGCTTGAGGAGGTGGCACAGCACTGTACTGACCTACAAAGAGAGACACAGCATTCAGAGCAGCATATGAGATGTTTGTAGCTACAATCAAAGATACTAGTTTACAATTTGAAAGGTTACATCCACCCCACTGCTACCTCCTGTTTCTACTGGGAGATTCACTCTCCACTCGGGGTTCAGCTGACCCAAACATCTCTGCAGAAGTTTTCTTTGCATTTTAGAAGAATGGGAGCTTGTGTTGCCAAACTTTTTCAGAAAAAAAAACACAAATAGAGATGTCAATTGTTGATTGTTTTCATTTACTACCTTCTCAAATCCTCTGGTTATTCAAACTGAGTTTTGATGCTTGATCTTCCATTCAGATTAGCTCTCTACTGGAATCCTAAAAGCACTACACTCTATTGAACAGAGGCCCATTTAGCTCATCAACTTCACAAAAAGCCTAAAAAAGTTTAAATTGCTGCAGTTACAGAATAACCAAACCATTGGCAAATTAATTCCCAAATCCCAGCAGACAGAAAACCTGCAAAAAGAATGTACTTAAAGGCTACCTGAATAGAAGATGTGCACCAAACCAGGCAGAGCTTGTCACAATCTCTCTCACTCCCCGTCCCTTGCTTAAGGGAGGAGCTGAATTTGAAGCTCAGCCCCGAGAGCACACATGAAGAGAGCTGCTGTATTTCTGTCTCATGATACCACCACCAGCACCACCTCAAACCTTGTGTGCAGCAAGGTGTGCCTGTGGCCTGCACACACTTCTCCTGGGACAGTGGGACTCACAGGAAGCATCCTCCCACCCAGGAGCAACGATATTTAGTGCTTACCAGACTTCGGCTTTTGTTTTGGAGGTGGTTTCTCATCGTCTGAGCTGTCAGATGAGTCCTCACTACTGGAACTTTCCTTGGCACGTTTGTTTTTCCCTGGACATACTTGAGTGGCTGCAGGTTTCTGCAGAGGTGATTTCTTGGGAACAACCTTATCACAAGAAGGGAAGACACACACATTAAAAAAGAAGTTACAAAAATCTTGTGGGGACAGCTGGATGTGGATCTTGTTTAACTCTATGCCTCACTAAAGAGAGCAAATTTTGAAGACAAAGGGAGAGAGATTTACGAAGATTCTCAAATGCAAATTTTAGGAAACACATGAGCATCATGATCTTTCTGGCCAGTCTGCTGTTGTTTTCTGCTGCATGAATCCCTAAAGAGGAGTTCCTCTGACTAAGGGGCACAGAATTGACTGAAATGGTAGCAACTGCCACTTGATTAAACACAACTAGGATTATTTTTGTGTTGCAGAAAACATTTTTAAACACTCCCTAGTGGAAAACTCAAAGTTACAGATAACTAAGTCCCAATAAAGTCATGCAAAAGTGAACAAACACAACATGGTTATGACACAATGAGATGCTTTCCTGTAAAAGGAAGGAGCAGAGGAAGCAATAAGGAGGTATGAGGGAAAAAAAGCAAAAGTGCATGGAGAGATGCTAGAGCACATAATCCCACTGTATAAGGAGGAGGCATAAGAGCCACAAATGCTGAGCTAGGCATCTGTGTAGTCTGTGCCTTTGTCTACGCATTTGAGTCCCTGCAAGACAGAGATACACCCAGTTACTAGACCCCTATCATGTTCAGGAAGTTTTTTATGGTCTAATTTACCTTTTTCGGTGCTGCCTTTTCCTCATCTGAATCTTCACTACTGCTGCTACTGCTCGCTGCTTTTCCATTCACCACCTTGGTGGCCGCCGGGGCAGCTTTACTTCCTTTTGAGACAAGTGAAAAGGGACATTAGAAAATATGCTATGGTAGATGAGGGATAATTGCATCCAGCATAAAGCAAATAGGGCAGATTACGGTTGTTTTATCCTACTGCAAGCTTAGAGAAAGTTTTCTGAACTATAGCTCATTGGAAGTTCCAGGACTACAGATTAAGTAAAGATCTTCCCTGCTCTTTGAGGGGAAGACACTGGCCAAAGCACAACTTAAGCAGTTAAGGTTACTGATTACAGCTACTTAACGCGAACAATGCAGCATTTGGGAGCAGATATTTTATTTGCAATCAGTTCTACACCACTTCCATCACAGAAGCAGGCTGGACTGGAGTGTAAATGGCCCTCTGTCAGCAGATTTTCAGACTGCTATGTTAATACATACGTTTTTGCATGTAAGTACAGCCCCCATCACTCCTCCCCTGGCATTTTTGGTTTTGTACTTTAACCCATGATACAAAATAAGAGGTACCTGATTTAGGTGTTGCTGGTTTTGGTGGTTGTTTCTTTGGTGCTTCTTCATCCGAGCTGCTCGAGTCAGAGCTGGAACTCTCTGCTTTCTTCTGAGGCTGAATTTTGGCTCCAGCTGGCTTCACCACGGGTTTTGCACCTTTCTAAACAATGGGAGGGAAAATGATTAGCCCTTGGAGCCATGAAAAGATAAGTGGGACACATGTACAGAGAGTACAAACAGCTCTGTCTTTCACAGAGGTTACCATTTTGACTTGGAAACACCAATTTGCCTAATGGTTAAGGCCTGAAAATCTCTGGATAACCATTTTACTCTGGAAAACCTCCCAGCAGCCCATGGGAGACTTCCTTTGCACCTCAGTCTCCAGTTCTGCCTCCTCAAAAGGGAGCAGCTGTGGGGCTGGCACTGCTCTCTTCCTTCTCCAGATTGCACTGGTTTGAAGGTGGTTACTCTCCTCTAGTGTACACTGACATTACTCTTCCCTCCCAGCCCTTCTCAAACTACAACTGCAGCAAGAAAAAGGAAAGAGAAAATTCTCTTTATATATGTAGAAAAAGATAAAATTTATTTTAGCAATTATAATAAATCTTTCCCTGCAAAAAATTAAGCCCTGGCAGTCTTAGGATAAAAGCAAAGAGCAAACTTGGATCTGAAACAAAGAAAATGCTGGACATTAAATTAATTTTTCACAGGACCAGTTCAAATGGCACACTCCACTATACAAATATCCTGTCACATCGCACCTACAGCTGTTGAAGCACTTCACAGTTCAGGAAAAGCAAGCCCAATTTCAGGGAGAATTCTGCTGGTCAAATTTACTATTACCCATCACTGTCAAACACGCATTGAAGAGGCTGGAAAGAAGAGCTGACCTTTGCTGGCTGCTTCTCCTCCTCCGAGTCTGAATCATCGCTGGAGTCCTCACTGCTGCTCTCTGCCTTTTTGGCTGCAGGAACTGCTTTTGCCTTGGGCACAGCTGCTGCTTTAGCTGCAAATAAGGGACAGCACACATTGATGGTAAGTTAATTCAAACTTTCATGTACCTATACCCTGAACTAGTGGATATCTGGGCAATCTGCATGCACTTAAAACGTAATTTCACTCAATATTTAGATCAACACATAATTTGAATTTGATGAAGCAAGTAGGAGTAACCCTGATATACCTTATCAGTGAGTGTTTGGAAAGCAGAATCTTAACACAGACACAGTGCTACTTCAATAGCACCTTCAAAGCTCGATACAGCCTGATGCCTTCAGCAGTCTCAGCCAAAAGAGACAAACTGAATGGCTAAAACCTTCTCGTGGACACAGTCCCTGATATGCTTAAATTATCACTGGATAAAGAGATCACCCTTAGTTAAGATAAACATACCCTACCTGCCATGGGAAAAAGACCTGCCAGAAACAAGATCAGTCAATACAAAACCAGTCCTCAAATGCTGCTAATGGACCTCAAACGAGCTGCTGAAGCTGAACTCTATACCCAGGCGACAAGCCAATGACAGACACAACCCCAGCCCGCCCCAGGGCTGCTCACAAACCCCACCTGGTTTCTTGGCTGGGGGTGTCTCGTCCTCCTCGCTGGAGCTGTCATCGCTGCTGGAGGACGGTTTCCTCTTTGCCTGGGAGCCATTGGGAACCAGCTTTCTCTTCTTGGCTGCCGGAGACCTACAGGGAGAAAGGCCGAGCTGGGGACTTTAAGAGGTGAGGGCTGGCCCAGAGGGAACCTGGCAGCACAGTGCTGACACCCCCCACCCCTCCTCCAGCCCGGAAAGCATGGAGGGGCACTTACTTCAGCCAGTAACTGAAGATGTCCAGAAGGGAAGCAGCATTGGGGTCCTGCTCCTTCTGCAGCAAGAGAGAGGTTGTGGTGGTCAGTCAGTCGGTCAGTCAACACCCCCCCACACCTCACCGCTGCTCCCCCATCAGTCAGTTGGCTGGTGGGTCAGTCAGACCCCCCTCACCACTGCCTGCCATCAGTCAGTCAGAACCCCCACACCTCGCTCCCCTCTTCCCCTCTCTCCCCTCACCACAGCACCCTCAGTCAGTCAGTCCGTTTGTCGGTCAGTCAGCCCCCCCC